CCGCTGGATTGGTTCCCCGACGCTTCTGGCTTCGTCCGAGCTCACGTGGCTCGTCTACATCGCCAACGACCTCTTTAGCTGCGTCATGCGGCAGTATACGCTCTCCTACGCGTGGAAGAGCTCGGTTACAGCGTGTTTGGTCGCAGTGGCGTGGAGGTTTGCCGTGCCTCAGCACTACGTCGCCACGTGCGCCGAAGCTGCCACTACATTGACATGGATCGGGCTCTGAGTTGCACGAGTGGCTACGTCGAGCTTGGTCATTGGAGCCGTGTCGGCGTCGACGTCGGACTCTGTCTTGGCTGCGTCGTCTTGGCGGCTCTTGCCGAGCGACTACGGTACCCGTATCTCTCGGCGCCACCCATGCCGTCGCTCTTGCTAAATGCGACGAGTGTCTACTCGTTGGAACTGACCAACTGGACAGTGGACGATCACGTCTACCTGGACCGCATGTCGGCCGCGATGACGGGCTTGTTCACGTGGCGAGTGCGCGGTGTTATGCATGTCTTCGACATCAAGAGCTGGCGGCATTTCACGGCCACGGCCGAATCCAAGAGCCCACTGGACCCGGCATTTGTGCTACCTCTCCACCGCATTTGATGAAGCGTCGTTCTGACCGTGCTCAAGTCGATGGTGTTGCCTTGTGTTATTGATCAATGGCCAAGCCTCGGAGTGCAACTAACTGCATGGCAGCAAATGTGGACTGCGAGGCAGCTCGACGTATCGATTGCAATACGGCAACCAAAAGGGCATGACAGATTCAGGTTTATAGTGTTGTTGCTCGTTACACCACGCGTATCTCAAGCGTTCTTGTTGCCTGCCTTGGACGCATGGGGCGATGCGAAGAGTGCGATAGGTAGCACACAACGCAACGCCATAACAGAGGGGTGTCGCCTTCTCTACAGGCACTCTCTATTGTCTCAACTTAGTCGTTGGTTTCTAGCGCGGCTTGGAGCCGCGACTCGATGAGCTCCACAACCGCGCTTTGGAACGCCTGCATCGCTGACAAGTGCGCCGATGGCATGCGCAGACGCGGTGCGGCATCGGCGACAGCCACTGTTCCCAGCACGAGGCCGTCCATGGTCACGATCGGTAGACCACAGTAGAATCGAATTCGCTCTTTTCCGGTGACACGAGGCGAACTCTGGAAACGGACGTCGGCCGAGGCATCGGGCACCACCAAGAGGTCGTCGTTGTTGGCTAGCGTCGCCGCCGTCAACGCACAGTCGGACGGCACCTGCGCCGGCACCGATGCGCCAAATGCACCCTTGAGGATATAGGACCCTTGGTAGATCAGCGTAACGTACGCATTTGTACAGTCCATGTCGGCAGTTGCAATGCGGCACAGCTCGTCGTGGACGTCGTTGGTGCCAACGTCGAGGCAAGCAAAGTGCCGAATCTGGTCGACCAAAGTCTCTTCCGCCTCGGTGACGACGACCGGCGTTGTGGCTACCGGCGTGGTAACCGTCGGTATGGCGGCTACTGGCGTGGCAACGAGCGGAGCGCTGGTGGTGGTTGGGTACATGGGTGTCGGTGCGGGTGGCGGCAGTGAGTTCCGGCGACTGTGGTTGGACGAGCCTTGCGATGCGCGCAGTCCATCGTCCAGCTTGGTGTTGTTGGACGACGAGCCGTGCGACGCGCGGGCCGGCTCGTCGAGCTCGGGCAATAGCGGCAGGTCGGCCGGGTCGAAGAGCATCACGGGCTTGTTCTGGCGCAGGTACCGCTGCTTGGAGGTCGATGCTTTCTTTTCAGTCAAGCTCACGGTGCGCATGAGCTCCGTATTGTGCGCCAGCGATGGCGCCTCGTCGTGGAGAATGATCGGGTCCGAATACCGCGCGACCGCGGTCGTCTGCGCCCGGTGCCGCAGCGCACACGCATGGCAGAGCTGCAGATCGAGCACGTTGCCGCCACCGACGGGAACCGGGTCGCGCACCGAGCAGTGAGCACAGCACGGCGCAGCGCACGAGCCGCAGGCGCCCGCCGACGGCCGGCCGCACCGGCACATCGCAACGACTGCATTGGAACTACCTCTGATGGTTTTTTTCTCGTCGTTCTGGCGCGACTGCGACCGCGGTTTGGTCGCGACTTGTTGGGCGTACTTGTCTTGGACTTGCTTGAAGCACACGTGGCACACGTGCACGCGCGTGACGAGGCCATCGGCGGTCTCGATCTCTTCGTGGCGGCAGCACTTGGCGCAGACGTTGCCGTGGCAGAGTTGGCACTCGTTGGCTTTGCGGAAGAGGCGGAACGTCTTCCTGCAATGCGTGCACGCTGACGCGTTTGCTATCGCGGGCAATGGCGGTGGCGCGTCCATCTGAATCCGATGCGACTGCGGCAGCTCGAGCGCGAGCCGGCGCCGCAGCACGATTTTGGTCAGTAGCGAGATCGAGTCGCCGAGCTTGGTGAGAAACCGGCACGTCTCGTCCGCCCCGAGGTTAATGGCAGCTTGGGTCGACGACAGCACGTGGCTGCCGTAAAACGTCAAGCGTAACCGGTTGGAGCGCGACACTTTTTCAAAGTAGTAGCCAAACGTGAGCCGGTGGTGGCGTGGCAAGTCATCGTGACCGACCGAGTCGTCGACCGACTCGAAGTAGCGCACAATCGACGTCGGCGTCAACGTCTCAATGTGCTCGAGGCACACGAGCTCCTTCTTGAAGACGCGCGCGTTGAAGCGCACGCGCTTGAGGCTCGTGGCACTGATCTCGACTTCACGAGACGACGCGGCGCGCGGGTAGCTCGTGACTTCGCGCATCTCGAGCGCGCCGTCAAAGACGCGGGCCAAGAACGGGTCGGCGGCCGGCGTCGCCTGTGCAAACACGTCGAGGACGTCGGTGAGTGACGCATGGAGCTCAAGCATTGCGTGCACCGAGTACTGCCGCGACGTGTCGTCAAAGTGCACGCTCGGTGACGGCTTGGTCGACGCCAGCGCCCGGTGGTTCATCTCCATGCAGTCCTTGGCGAACGCCAAGGCGCAGTCGCGGGCAAAGGCGACGGTCTTCTTGGTGCTGTCGCTGGGTCCGGCAGTCGCCTCTTGCCTGACGCGGCGACGGCCAGCAGCCTCGGCCTCGATCGGGTGTTGGCTGTAGATCGTCGCCGGGCCCACGATCGTGTAGCTGAACTCGGGCATCGATCGTCAAGCAGTGCGCTCACAGCGTGGACAGCCGATCCGGATAATGGTCATCATATGTAATGCGTCGGCGTATCCGAGCGGCCGCTTTTTTATGCGATTTTGGAAAGCACTTGGGTGTTGTATACTTGTAATGGTTTGCGTCGACCCAGTTGGTAATTGCGACGCGGTTTACGCCACATGGAGCATCCACGCCCGACGTAGCCCGACGTAATATTGATGGTGGCAACTTGTCCAAAGTGCGCTCCGTAGAGCAATATTGAGGCTTGTCTACGGTACAACAAGGGCCTTTCTGTGCCGTGTGCGCATGCGCGTGTCTATAGACCGAGGAGAATCATCCTACATGGGTAAATTGTGCTCGTCACCACCACGCTGCACGTTGCAGCGATGGGCAAGCCGGTCATATTGCTTATCAGGCGCGCCCGTCGTGCAATATACGTTCCGCGAATGAATATACGTCGCCACACGGTCTATTTGCGTCCTTGCATACAAAAGACAGGCTATTTCCAGCGCCCCACTCGTGCATGCGGCGTTGTATCTCTCAAAATGCGATACTTTTAACTTAATCTCGATTTTGCTATGCAGTTGTGTAATATACGTCGGCATACTTTTAAATTGCGCCAGTAGTATGTCTGGCAAACGCGTCCTTTGTTTAGCTTGGAATTTGTATGGTGCCAAGAAGTCAGTTGTGAAAATCGGGGGTGGCACGCATGGACGACCTCACGCTGCCGTCGTCGCCGCCGCTCGTGGCACCGCCTGCGTCGCTCGGCCGACCCATGGAAGAGATCCTGGGCGACGTGGTCCCCGAGAAGCGCCGGCGCGTCTCGAGCAAAGCGTCCTTGTCCGAGGACAGCCAGATCGTGCTCTTCGTCGACAACATCAAGCGTCAAGTGCTGAGCCGCTTTAGCCTGCCCGACTGCACGCTGCACCACACGGGCCGCGACGTCTCGATCACGTGCTGGCAGTGCGGCAAGATGATCAAGATTGCAACGGGTCATTTGCACTTGCGGAGCCTCAAGTCGCACCTCGATCGGTGCAAGGGCAATGGCGGCGTGCGCCAAGCGCCTCTCGCCGAGCTCGACCCGACCAAGAAGCGCCGCGTCTCGAGCAAGGCAGCGATCTCCGAGGCCAACAAGGTCGCGCTCTTCATTGACCGCGTCCGGCGGCAAATCATCAAGAAGTTCAACGTGCCCAACTGCAAACTCACACACATGAACCGCGACGTGAGCGTCATCTGCTGGAACTGCGGCAAACCGATCAAGATTGCGAGCACGCGCTTGAACCTCGCGAACCTCAAGACGCACATGACGCGCTGCCACGAAAAGATGCCCAGCACGAACGGCAAGGTCCACGAAGCCGCGCGCGTGCCGAGCAACGCGCCCAAGATCTACCTCTGCGCCGGCCTCGTCTCGGACGAGATCCGCACCTACTGCGCCAACGCGACGCGCATGTTTGGCGGCTGCAACCGGCGCGAAGACATCCTCAAGTCGCTCTTTGGCCTCCGGTCGCTCAAGAACCTCAGTCCGCAGCAACTTCTCGAGTTTCAGCAATATGAGTTTAGCACGCGCAAGTGGAACATCATTGGCACGACCATCTTCTCGGTCGACTGCGTCAAGGTGCAGAGCCTCGGGCAGACGTGCACCGAGTGCCTTGGGCTCTACCGCAACGCTGCGTTTACGAGCACGCTCAGCAAGTACCGCATCAAGGCGCAAAAGATCGCGCAGGGCCAAATCAACCAAGACAACATCAAGTTTATCCCCAAAATCTACCTCCAAAACCCCGGCGCCGCTCTCGCGCGCTCGTTCGAGTCGAGGGCCAAGCGAGAGACGGGAGTCATCGTGTCCATCTAATAAATGTATATTTGTCTGTGTCCTTGCGGTCTAGACTTCATCGATATCGCCGACGACTACTCCGGCTACGGCTACGGCTACGACTGCGGCGACGGGCCTGGCGGTCGCGCGATCGATGCCGCCGTCGTTCTCGACTGCGACTGGGCTCCCGGCGACGGTCGCGGCTGCGACTGGGCTCTCGGCGACGTTCACGGCTGCGACTCGCCTCGTGTGGCGCCAATTTAGCGTCACGACTCGGGGAGAGCGACCGGCCACGTGTCTCTGTGTCCCCGTCAGGTGCTGAGGAGGCAACCTCGGTGGTCGTCAGGACAGCCTCAACGCTCTCCGACTTGGTCGTGGTGTCTGCGTCTGGCGCGGTGCTAGGAGGTGGTGTCGCCATCGCGTCCAGCTCGCTCTCGTCGGTGGCTGCCACTTCGCCGCGGACCGCCTCGTATGGGTTGACGACCGTTAGAGGCTCGATCCAGCGGACGCGTGGGTACGAGTACACGGCGAGCATTTCGCGGGCGACGACGTCGACGTCCGCCGTGTCGACTTCGAGGAGGACGTCCCACTTGAGCGGAAGCGGTACGCCAAGGACGCGCGCCGCGAGCGAGATGGCCGCGCATGCAATCACATGCGCATCGAACCGGAGGCAGAGGTCGAGGCGGAAGCTGTCGTTGACGTAGTTCCACGCCTTTTGCGCGAGCGCGTTGGAGCCATCGAGGATCTTGACGTAGTACAAGAGGAACTTGTGCGGGTGCTCGGTCATCGCGTCAATCGAGAAGCCGACCTCGATGAGCAGCTGGCGCTCGACCATGATGATGTAGTCGCTCCATTGCGAGAAGCGCGGGTCCGACGGCATGAGCAAGATGGGCTGGAGGCCCATGCGGCGGTTGCGCATGCGAAAGAAGACCTGGATCACATCTTTGACCCGGCGCGGCTGCTCTTCCGCCTTGGCAGCGAGGAAGATGCAGCCCATCGCGACGCGGAATGCGTCAAAGTCGGTGAGGCTCTGGCCGGCGTAGAAGCGGTGCAGAAGGCTCTGGCCCGTCGCGAGGACGACCTGCGGCAGCGACAGGAGGATACCAGCCTCTTGCACCAGCTCGCAGGCGAAGAAGCGATGGCGCGCCTCCATGGCCGCTGGCACGCCCTCGGCGGTGGACGGGGTTGCCATGCGCTCCTGAAATGCAATCTCGAAACCTCCACCATTGGATTACGATATTCATTTTGACAGGTTTTAGATCTGGTTGTTGCTGCGGAGCTGAGCTAGGCATGCATTTCTCTGGCTTCAACATGGTGAGCTTGGTGTGTTGCGAGATGAGCTCGGATGCTCCAGTCTCGACCGTAGACTTGGCGAATGGCGTCGACATCGTTTACCTTCCAAGCAACTCGCCCGAGCGTTCGCTTCGCACGTCAATGACGCTGAACTACAGTACATTGGCCTTCTTGTTGAACGCCAGCGACGTCTCATCGTCTCTTCTATCTGTCGCCCACGCTGCTACCGTTGTCGAAGTTGCGGTCGAGTCGAAGAAGCCGTGCGCGATCTCGTCCAAAAGTTGCCCGAGAGGTGGGCGGTTGGAGAAAGCCGCCTCGTGCCGTTCCCTCGACGACATCCCAACTTACGTAGGCTTGCACGAGTTCACGACCCTTGGAAACAAAGGGCGTGTCGACCGCATTCTAATCCATGGTGGACCACTACGAGAGGAACCTCTCCAAATGCAGCACACGAGTCCACAATCAAGTGCCAACTCACATGCACCCCGCTGTACGCAGTCTCTGCGGGCGCACACAAGTTGATTGATGAACGTTAGTCTTCAGCAAATCATCCCATCGCCACCACGGAGCGTGATGGTCACAGAGTGTCTGAATGATGGTCGACCAGCGGCCATCTGGAGCTCGGATGACCACAATCCATTACAGTGTACTCTGCTTTTGTCGGGCGACACTCGTTGTAAGCACTGGCTCCTCCATTTTTGCGGGCGCAGGCCCGAAAAGTTCCTCTATCCAATCTTTAGATCCCATATTGTTTTTTGTCGAAATCATATTATACTTGGTTTTTGTATCTGAATTTATATTATTGCAAAGCGCCTGGTAAAAAGATTTTTGCGGGCTTCAGCCCGCAAAAATGGCGTCCAATCAAAAGCTACAAAAATCGTAGAAAAGCCTCCTTTTTTGACGAATCAGTGCTAGG